TATGTGTTTCATTCATTCTTTCTTTCATTCAGCCATTCATTTATTCCTTCATTCATTCATTCATTTACTTAATCATGTATTAACTTATCACAATTTTAGTGCATTCAGTCACACGAGCTCGTATTATTAAATTATGTTTTTTTTAAACCGTTCCTGTTTTTTAATTAGCCTGTTCATTCATCTTTATTTACCAGCTCTTTCTTTCACTCTTTGTCCATCTATACATTGGTCCAGGCATTTTTTTCGTTAAATCTAGTGTGTTTTTTTAGTGCAAAGAAGCAAAATTGGAATGATTAAAATCGGGAAAAAACCTGTGTTCCCCGCCTGCAGGGCTTCTTGTCCCTACTAATGTTAACTAATTCTGGCCCTGCTAACCCTGGGCAGAAACGTTAGGCTTTGCTATTGATCTTCATGTCAGGAATTATTTTGGTCACGAGTATTTAATGGGATTTCCCTGTTCCTGTCAGCTGTGATACTGTTATGGTCCACATTAATGAAGTAAAAAAGACGAAAAAGTTAGAGAGGAAATTTGATTATCGTGCGGCGATTTTGTACGTAATTCATTTCATTTTTTCCCCCATTCCTTCTTTTATTCTTCTTAGTTTTTGTGGTTCAAGGGCTTGCTTCAAAAAGTGTGTTGTTGTAGCTGTTGCTTTTATTGTTGTCGTTGTTGTTGTTGTTGTTGTTGTTGTTGTTGCTGCCATTTTTAGAGAGGGGGGGTGCGGATTTGGTGGGATTGGGGCGGACGAAGGAGTGGAATACGAGTCACGTTGAGTGGGGCAGAGGGGGGTGGGGGGTGGACGAGGGGATGGGGAAAGGGCTTGTAAACATTGTATGAGTCAGTTTCCGTTATTAAGGTTTTGGGTTTCAGCGCACTGATTTCAACCCTTCAGCGCTACATCATTCACAAACACAAGATATCAAAACGGAATTTAAAATCCCAACTGCAACAACCCCCCCCCCCATAACTACAAACCGAGAAATATGGATGACGAAAACAAGGAAAAGGATCTCACTGTATTTTCAGAAAATCAAAGTATGAACAAACACGATTACATTACGAGTCCTGTAGCCTAACCGCTAGGCTACCGACGCCACTTTAACATTCGCAGAAGTGGGTGCTAGCTACACAAAGTTTTTAAAACATTGACAAGCACTGGAGTGACAGACTGGATTAAATACAATAGCAAACAGATTCCCTGAAATAAACATAATACTCAGATTGATAACTGCAGACTCACCCGAACAATTGACATCGAAATGTCGCTGCATATTCTCTCGAGACTGGGTTCTGAGTTCAGAGCCTTCAGTTCTCACCAAGATACCTGCGTTGTTGATCAAAAGGTTCAGTCCTCGATCTCCAACGATGTTCTTTGTTTCCTTCAGATAAAACAAGAGAACAGATTAAGGTAACGCTATGCTTCTCGTGCCCTCTCAAATTCCATTTTCAAGGAACAAATTCTCTCCCTTAGATATATATATGACAAAAATTGTTCATGTGATGGCCAACCAAATAATAAGACCTACAGTTAGTACAATGCCAAATTACCGACAACATTTCTCAGATGTTCGAGAGCACTGTAGTTTCCATAGAGACGTGTATAAAGTTCTCTTACAGCCTTTGTAAAAATTGTGCCCTCGCATGCTGAGAATTGAACAAGGTCCAGTAAAAATGGTGACATTTCAAAGAAAAAAATAATTCCATAATTCCATACAGTACAGAAGCAAAAAGTATGTCCAAGTGAATTGTAAATCAAGATGTATTTGAATTTCATTTGCATTAGTACCTACATGTACTTGTAAGCAGTCAAGACACTTGAATTGTCTAAGTTAATGGGTTCAAATGAGATCATAGCAACCAGTAAACAGCAATCGAACTAAACCTAGCCTACACTACAAAACTACAACTGCGCTACTGGTTACAATAAGACGCTCTTCCACAGACCCTCAGTGGAATATTCCTGCACGTATTTTTCGGTCTTTCAACTTACTTACTTAGTACTCGCTGGTACTAACAACAACGTCTAGACAGAGCTTGGCCTGGACTTTTATTAATTATATACACAAACCTGAGCAGCAGAAATTATGTCTTCGTCTTTTTCCACATCTAATTTGATCACTTTCAGGGACGGATTTGCTTTCGCCAGAGTCTGCAGATCGTTTGCAGAACTTGGATTACGACAGGCTGCAATGAGTACTTCAGGTGCTGCAGGCAATTGTAGAATTTGTCTCACAAACTCCAGTCCCAGTCCTCTTGACGCTCCGGTCACCAAGATTGTTTTTGATGCTACAGGCATGGCTGATGAAGGTGGAAGACTGTGGAAGTCTATCTTGGTCTTTGCTCCTGAAACCTGAACGCACCACGGCAAGAAGTGCGATAAGCGGTTAGTCCAGGTTGTATAATACTGTTGGTTGAAGAAGTACAATCTCCACTCAGCGATAATTATGTTGTGGCACACCTCACTGCACCCTGCTACGGCACACGGCGCATAAAAATTACAAAATGTAAAGCCAAAATTATTGTAATTTCGAGTTGAAAAGCTGGTCACTGAGAATGACAAGACATTTTTAAAAGGCGACCACGTGGCCTATCCTTTAGTCATACAGTTTTATCACAGAGTGACACTGGCTATTGATAGACATCTAGGGCTGTGTCGCCTTCTTTCACATTCCCCGCCCTGCTTTTTAAGTCAGGGTAACCAGACCTGCGTGTAACCACACCTGCGTGTAACCAGACCTGCGTGTAACCAGACCTACGTGCAACCACGTTCCTTTTGTTCTAAAAAAAAAAAAAGCAGAGTGGAAAAAATTAACAGAGCACCTTCTCTTGGCTTGTCTGTTGACTCACATGATTAAATCTACTTTCTTTTTTATTTCCTCTTTTATTGAAGCTGACCAAAACGTTTTTAAAATGTCTGTTGAAAAGCTTTGTGAGATCTTTAGATAAGTTGTTCAAGTAGAGATTTTTAATAAAAGAAAAGAATCTTTTCAGTTTTCAATCTGTTGGGTTTTTTATGATGAGTCATTGATTATTTGAACAATGAGATAGGCATTTGCAGTACATAAGACAGAGGAATGTCGGTAGTTGCATTAAGGGCATGGCGGAATCACCCAAGGCTGGTTGCAGGTAGGCATGGTGACTGTTTTTACTGACCAAATGCAACCGTCTCTATGACTATATGCCCGAATAATCCTGTCTAACCTCTGGTTATGGTTAGTTACAATTAAAACTTGCATTTTCTAGCAATTTTAGTTAAAATGAAAACAAAACAAAAAATACCATAGTATTGTTAATTTTGTTGAGCAATCCCATTAGCATCTTACTACTACACATAGTATAAACAAAGGTCCAGGGACGATTCATTGACTGGGCAAGTCCCCAGAGCTGGTCACTTTTTATCGGCTGAACAGTGCACAAGAGATTTACTTCTGCTAATAATTTCCACTCAAGTTTCAAGTAAATATTAACTAATATTGTTTTTATTTTCGACATTCGAACGGCTTTTTGTCGATTTGAAGGCAACCAAAAATATATTATAGAGGTTCACTGATAAGTGACCTACCAGCTAGCACCCCTGCTCAGTCGCAAGAACATCCCAATCGAAGTGAAATCCCAGTTCATCAATAGCATCTTCATACCAACATCAATATACCAGTACCAAACGTAGTCCCTAAACAAGGCACAAGAAAGAAAAATCAATGCAGGCGAAATGAGGTGTCTCCGAAAAAGCATCAACGTCACCAGAAGAGATCGCATAAGAAACGAAACCATACGTCTACAAACTGGAATACAACTAGTAATAACATTTATAGAGCTTCAAAGAGTCCAATGGTTCGGACATCGAACCAGAATGCCCCAGAAACAACTAGCGGCTAGAGCTTACAACACCCGATAATTTCTGCTTCAAATCAAGAGGAAGACCAAGAAAGACCTGATTGGATGGGGTTAAAAGGTCATATAATATATCTATCACAGACGCTACACGCCTAGCACAGGACCGAAACTTACACCTCCCCTCGACATCCTAAGGATACCGGAGGAAGGAAAAAGTAAAAGTAAAAGAAGATACTGATAAGTTATTGCACATCAGATTCTCTCTTCTTTGTCTCTGTTTTATTAGCAGTGGCTCGCAACTTTGTTGTCGCGACGAACAACTTCGCGACACCGCGCTCTAGGACGGCGATTTTACAAATTGCCTACTGGGTGCAAAGAGGAATCCTCTAGTTACCAATCAGGCTTCTCAGTTGCTTACTTTATTAAAGGATAAGACTGTCTTGAGAAGTACATTTAATACATTGTATTCCATCTGTAACGTTATCAGTAAAACTGTCTCTAGTTACTGTCAGTACATCTTCTGTGTGCATGGCTCTAATATGTATTGCCTAGTTTTAGGTCACACGTGGTTCTGTTTGATGTTCTATTCGTCACTTACTTCCTACTTCAACCTTACCTGACGGACGGACACTGTTGATAATTGGCCAGCCACATTAGGGGCCTATATATATGAGATTTTACTGAGGATGAGAGTGCTAAACTAGCGAGAGACACTTGGCTGGCGGAGTCTGGGCTGCCAAAACAATACCCTCCCCTCCCCTTTTCCCTCAACCTGGCCAGACATTGAGTTCTAAAATTAGCCTTTGACACAGGTCCCCACTCAGCCTCAGTGGCGGTGGGTAGTGAAGGGCTCACGGGCTTGAGCCCCTACCCCCTCCCCAACCACCACCCCCAACTCTATCCCAAAGTAAATGAAAGTTTCTCCATAATG